CAACTGAAACACTGAAGTTAAAATTATGGATCCCAAATTCTTGCAAATAAAAGTAAATTAATTTCCAAGGTAATTGGAATTTCTTTCAAAAATTATTTATCACTGCATCATCTTTCATAGTTTCAACAGAATTGATTTGATTGGTTTCTAATGAAGTATAATTAATCAAGAGGAAGGTTTTAGTAGCTTATGAATTACTATCATCTTGATATTTAACTTCTAATCATCAGTTACACTTGCTGCACCATTCCAGTTTTTTCCATAAATATGATTTTATTGGACATATATATTTTGCACCTGAGCAATTAGATTGTGATTGCTGTTACGTATTGCTTTATTGTAGCTCATATTTTTGTCTAATCCATTGAATCCTACTTAATACATGCCTTTCTTTCTTCCTTTGGAAAAATACTTTTTTATTCTAGTGATATTTGGCAGTACATTTAAATGGGCTCTTCTGATGTGTCTGCAAAACCCTGTCCTCAACAGGGCAACAAGTCTACTGCAACAACAGCATTAATAACCATTAAGCCTTTTTTTTCAAACAGTTTGCTAAGCTGGGTGCATGTAAGGTGCTGGATTCCTTAGGACATTTACCCCAGGAATTACAAAGCTGTATGGCTGCATTTTTGACAGGGTTGGTGGCTGTGCTGGAACAATTCCTTCAATCTCTGGAATTTTAATTAAGCCAGAGAATGGTGGAATCAGTGGTGCAGTTACTGTGCTCTGTCAGAACATGGTTTTCAGTCCATAGAATCAGAATAGCCATAATGGAAATGAGTATTTTTTTTTTTTTGCAAGAGGCTGGACCAACAGGCAGAAAAGTTATTTCTGTCTTTTGCTAAAAATCCACAGAGGAGAGGCTTATAGTTCACCCATTGAAGCAGTGCCTTTGCTGTATACACATACAGTTTGCACAGAGGTTCCATATTACTCTAGTTGAATTTGCATAATTTCTAGAGTAATTTCTGTAATTTTTATAACATTATAGGATGCAGGACTGGGCAATATCTCAAAAGGTTATCGAATCTCTAACTCTAATCCTGATGTTTCACTAATTTCTTGCTCCAATGCGGGAGAATAAACAGCCTCAATAGCTTGTATCATTACCATTACAGAATCAGAGTCACAAAATAGCTGAGGTTGGAAGGGACCTCTGGAGGTCATCTGGTCCAACCCCCCTGGCTCAAGGGGCACCTAGAGCCAGTCACCCAGGACCATGTCCAGACGGCTTTTGAATTCTCCAAGGATGGAGACTCCACAATCTCCTTGGGCAACCTGTGCCAGTGCTTGGTCACCCTCACAGTAAAAAAGTGTTTCCTGATGTTCAGAGGGAACCTCCTGTGTTTCAATTTGTGTCCGTTGCCTCTGGTCCTGTCGCTGGGCACCACTGAAAAGAACCTGGATCTGCCCTCTGTGCACCCTCCCTCCAGGTATTTATATACATCAATAAGATCCTCCTGAGCCTTCTCTTCTCCAGCACAGACAGTCCCAGCTCTCTCAGCCTTTCCTCACAGGAGAGATGCTCCAGTCCCTTCATCATCTTCATGGGGCTTCGTTGGACTCTCTCCAGTCTGTCCATGTCTCTCTCATACTGAGGATTCCAGAACTGGACACAGTACTCCAGGTGTGGCCCTCCAGTGCTGAGGAGAAAGAATTAGAGAATTGCGTATCTGTATCTTTTAAGTTTATTGATCCTTGTCTTTCTTCCTATTTGCCCCTTCTCCAGGTCTCTTTGAAGAAAAGTCTTCAATCCATAGCAAGACTCTTTGAAGACATTTTGTTGTACTTTTCAGTTTTAGCTTTTCCAGAGAAAAACCCAATTCTTTCAGTCTTTCTTCATTGGCTACGTTTTCTAAGCAGCTAGCAGCTTGAGTCATCCTTGCCTCTCTTCAAATTCATTTTTAGTGGGCATGTAAATATGCATATAACATCCAAAATTAGACACCATATTCTTTCAGAGGCTCCACCAGTGCCAAGTTTATCAAAATAATTGCCTCCATGTCTTCTGTTTTCCAGTTCTGAATACAACCTAGAATTAGTCTGTCATCTTTTGCAGCAACATTACATTCCTGTTTTAATTCCTGAGAATTGCCCAAGCCTTTTCTTCAGTGTTTGAAAGTTATTCTCCATTTTGGCTCTGTACCTTTGTTGGTGTGTTTTTCCTAGGAGTACTTTTCCTGACCATTGCTTCCACCAGTCAGTGTCCGCTCCCTTCCTTCTGTGTTATCTGCAAAATTTTGTGTGTGTTTCTTATTTGACCACACGGGTGTTAATGAAAATATTGACTGTGGACCCATCAAATCTTTGTGGTACATATCTCAAAATATTTCCCTGTTTGATAACTACTTTTTGAAAATGGATTCTTCTAATTGGATATATACTCCTATTCCTCATTACCACGATTTTATCTGCACTGATGTTTTCCTTTTTAAGTTGAGACAGTGTCAGCTAGAAATGTGTAACAGTTTTAACAAAGGTCAAAATATGCTACATGTTCTCCTTTCCTTTTTCCTCTAAGCCAGTTACCCTGTAAAAGAAGGAAATTGCATTCGTTTGACATGATTTGTTTTTGACAAATCCGCGGTGGCTGTTTGCTATCATTTTAATTATCTCCAAGGTGCTTAGAAAAGGATAGCTTAATAATTTGTTTGGTATCTTTGTGGATATCAAAATCAATTCTGTAACTCTCTGAGCTCTATTTTGTTGATTTATATATATGGTTATATATACATATACACACATATATTTGTGTGTGTTTGTGTATGTGTGTATAGGCGAAATGTTTCCTTTTCCATAGTCATCCTCTGTGAGGTCTTAAAGATGATTATTAATAGTTCAGAGATTTTGTTTTATATTTTCAGGGGAATTTCATTATTCTGTTCTGCATTGAATTCAAACAACCATCTCCTTTCTTTTTTCCTGAGTAATCTGCCTGAAATAGGTAATATGGATGAAGAAAATTTCATCTATTCCATAGAAAATACTTTTCTTGAGGCCAGAGTGAAGCTTTGACAGGACGTAGCTCCTTGCACTTCAACATATTTGTTGATAAACGTGTTACTAAAAGAAATGTAACCAATTTGTAAAGTTTTGTGGTGCCTAAAGAAGCATTTGCTGAGGTAGGTAGGTAGCTGTAAGTCTGCCTTATGTTAGTACCTTGTATGGAGAAAAAAAGTTTTAAAAACAAAAAAGAGGTACAGGTATTTAGCCTGCAAAAGACACTTTGTGCCTGTCAGCAAAGCCAGTCATACTGAACCAGGCATTGTGGAAAAAGCGTGAGACCACCTAAGTAGTAACTTTATTGAGTATGTAACTACAAGTGAATAAGATTATATGGTGACAGCAGCTCTCAGGATCCAGCTGAACCAGAAAAAAGAACCAAACCTGTAGGTCTCGATGAGAGGAGTAGGACCACACACCTATGTGCACATACAGCCAGTGGACCGAGCCACATTTTTTTAGGTTTTGTGTATTGTTTCTACTTCTGAGCCATGGGTACACTTAGAAGGAAAGAAAGTAGATGATCCAAGTCCTTTAATCTCAGAGCCTTACTAAGAAAAGAGTAAGACACACAAACTAAATGCACATGTTTCTGTTTAATTAAGTGCACTTCTGATGGTGAAGTTTCCTGTGCGCATGGATTGTCTGGTCATTATAATGTGGGCAGTATGTGCAGTAATCAATAGACATCTACATCTCTGTGCTACGGCTGAGAAGCAAAGACGCCAGAAAGGAAAGGGGGAAATCACTGTACATCTTTAGTCTTTGTGACTATTTTTCAGCCTCTCTGGTACACTTCAGATCTCTACATCCATCTACCAGGGAGGAGCTTAGTGTGATGATGTTGCCTCTGTGCTGCAGAGAATCCACCATTTCCTCACTTATGGTCTACCCTAGTTCCACTTTGAACCTGGTATTCAGGACAAGAGAAATGACTGTTTGCAGCAGAATGCTTTTAGCAGAACTATACCATTCCTGCTGTGTCTGGATTTGAACAAAACTGAGGGCAAAACAAAAGGAATTAATTAGTTTGGAGAATACTACTAAAGCTTGGAATATGAACTCTGTGCAGTATGAACTGCACAGAAATTGTTGGCTCCAGAATCAACCTTAAATTCTTTGGCAAGTAAGCCACATAAGCCTGATACAAACCACAAATACGTTTGACTTTTGCCCAAATAGAGTCTTTATCCTTTCTAATTTGTTGCTGGATGTCATACTTACCCATTTTGTTTTGGAAATAAATATTCTGACTTTGAAAATGTTGGCTGCTTTGAAAGTACAGCTTGGTTTCTAAAGCAATGAGATTTCAGTTTGTTGGGGTTTTTTTTCAAAAAGAAATTTACAGTTTGAGGCTGGTTTTTGTTATACATTGGACTATCTGAAATGAAGAGGAGTCTGAGAGTTCCTCAGTACAATATGTAGATTCAGTGTATTCCTTAGAAATGAATGCAATTTCATGATACTGCTGTGAGTTTAAACAATAGCAAATTGCCATCTAAAATCTGCAGAAGTTAAAAAAAAACCAAAAACAATAAAAACAACTGAAGAAGTTGCACCATAATCAAAAGGAATGAGTGACAGAGCTGGAAATTGAATCCGGTGATCCTGGGTTCTTCTCCCTCATCTGAGCTCCCTGTCAAAATCTGAGAGCTCTCTATGTTTCATATAACAACATAATAGACAAAAATGTTGGGTTCCAAGTTAGAGAAAGTAGTATATTTTCAATTAAATTTCTGGATACTTTGCTGGGGGAAAAAAAAATCTCTAATCTAGGAGCTATGTTTTTTCATTGTGAAGTTTCATAGACAATTGGCAAGTGTTTTCTAACTAGACACATTGTATATGAAGAGGAATAAAAGTGGAAGAAAAATTCACCAGGGATCTTTTAGTAGGGAACCATGACCATGGAAAGGAAAACATAGAACTGAAAATTTGAATCTCAGATGTATGTTATTTCTTTGCAGTAAGATTTTACTTTTGAACTTTTTGTTCAGAGTCTTTGGACATATTAGCTACCGTTCGGACTGGGAACTGGTGAAGGTGGACTTCAGACCATCCTTCCCCAGGGAGTGCACTGATGATGACTATGAGTCTTGGGAGCTCACAAATCTACAGGTATTTGTGGTCTTATGTTAACTGCCACAACTTCGTAGTAGCTTTCGGATTCATGTAGAACTGTGTGCTAGGAAAACATTTTCAAATAGAATTTGGATGCTATATCCCCAGCTTTGATCTCCTTATGCTGGTATTTGCTGATTTTACAATAGTTTAAAATGAGAGAGGATTTTGTGTTCCCTTTGGTTGTGTGATCTGTGTCCTGGGAAAGGCGGAAGTATATCTGGTGGTCTGCCATAATAATAGGTGGTCCTGCTGGATTGTGAAGCATACACCATAAAGTGTGTAATATTGATTGAAGCAATTTCAACATGCAGTCGTGTTCTGCCAACTTCCTGACCACATACTGTACTCGTATATAAATTGCCATAAGTAAAGCCCATTCCAGAAGTAATTTAGGATCTCAGTGGACCAATCATGTCATGGAGTGCAGTTGTTTTGGGCAATACCATCTCTGCAGTAATGCGTTAAGGCTGTGCTAATCCTGGTGCTCGGGCCAAATCCAATTTTGGGAAGCTACGTTCTCTATACAATGTATTGATTAAAGAAATCGGGGGGGGGGGGGGTTACATTAAATGGAATATGTCATATTTATTCATAATCATTCTGATTATTATGTTTTGCTTCTTCCAGTACATTTGTTCTCTTGCTTTCTGCAGGGTGGGTTTTTTTGCATACTACTCTTTGTTACTCCAGCTCTCCAGCTCTTATTTGCTAGTTCTCATGCCTAATTTTACACTTCTTGTTTGGGAATGCTGTGTGTTACAAAGAATGTTATGCAGATCTGAGCCCAAAGAGTAAGAGTATCTTGGGATATTGGCATTGAAATGTCTTTCAGAAATTAGAAACTACTAAAATGACTTTGAGTACTTGCAGCTGCCCAATTACTAATGTAGTGTGTTCAGATAGTCTTCATTCTGCCTGTGTCCACAAGGTTGGTGCTTTGTTGGTGCTTTGTTGCGACTGTCAACACAAGATGTGGTGATTTAGATAGAACTTCAGCCATCTGCATCCATGCTGAATTTTTAAATGGCCAATTGTAGGGTAGTCCCTAGTTTGTGCACACATGAAGCATGGGTTAAATTGCACTTGAATTTTCATGTACATCTTTGGATTTGTGCCCCGAAATATGTTACAACTCTGTAATGGCCCATTACTGGACAGAGGGGATATGAGAGCTTTCTATACCTATACATTTGAATATGAGAGAGTTGATACAAGTTTATAGTCTTGGCAGCAAGACCAGCCTTTCTCAGGACAACGTAAGGTCATGTCTGTGTGGTGTAGGTTATGGTGTGCAATAAGTCTGGTGCTTTGATGTTCAGGGTGATCGTTGCATCATGGGCCAGCAGAGGAGCTTTCGAAAGAGGAAGATTTCATCATGGTGTATTAAAGGGAGAAGTTTCACATCAGCTCTTACATCCAAAGTTTGTGAATGTGTGAACTCTGATTTCTTATGGTGAGTCTCTCTGTGGACCTTTTGATTTATTGCTAGTAAATAGTTACTTAGAGTTTGAGATGGGTTTATTTTCCTCCTTTTGCCCCTCTCCCCACATAGCCATGTATAAACAAATAGGCAAGCTGTTATTTGAATAACAGGTTGCTTTTGTATTTGCCTTTGTTTAAAAAGATTGCCATGTTTTAAGTATTTGTTTCTCTTGACTGAACAAATCCTGATGTTTTTCTCAATTGATCAAGACTTGAAAAATGACCATTGGATTGATTATAAGGCAAGCAAACCCTTTCTATTTGCAAATGAAGGAAAAAAAAAAAGAAGAAATGTGTTGGTCTGAGTGGCAAAAGAAAGCTTTTAAAACTCAGAACTACCAAGAGAGTTAATTTTTCAGAACTGACAAAGTAATTGCAACCAGTTTTTCCCCAAAGTGTACACAACTCCCATTGAAATTAGACTTAGAACAGAACTGGCTTCAGCAACTTGTGTGTTTAGCTGGTAGAATAATACTAAAAAAATCTTTTTACTGTTAAAAAAGTAGTCTCATCCACCCCAAATTAGACTGCTGAATGAAGTGGGGATAGTAACACACTTGGTGTTGATGTTTTTCAGTGATTATGGGTTTGAGCGTTCTGCACCTCTGAAGTCGGAGTCTAGCAAATGCTTTGCTGACTTTTGGTTTAACCCTGAAGCACCTCCTGAAGACTGCGTGCTGGGGCAGGCATACACCAGCAGCACTGGGTAAGCTGATTTTGTGTTCGACTGGCTTGCAGAGGCTTCCAGAGAGGAGGAGAACATTCTGACCAAGGGCCAGAAAAGTGATTTGAAGGAAATGTAAATAAGGCAAACTGCAAAAACTGGGAAATGCAAAAGTTCTGACTCTGACTTAGAGCATGTGCAGAAGCTTCCTACAGACTAGTGAAAGAGAAATGTTACATGTTCACGGCAGTTCAGAAATTAATCAATTTGAGAAGAGGGGGAGCTGTGTTGTTCTCAGTATATTTTTTATTTTTGATAACGTTTTGTAGCCACTATTACACTTGTGATAGGAATGTCCATTCAGAGCCTTTTCTTTTAGCCCATTGCTTGGGTTCAGACCAATTTTCAGTTTGAATCCGGTGAATCAATCTGAGGAGCCAGTAACATCTCCCAGAACTTCCCAGTCTCTCACTTCCATAGGGGTAAGGAGTTCTGTGGAGAATAGATTCTTTTCCTGACCATATGGGACGCTCAGAATCAAAGGAAAGCTTTATTAACTGTAAACAATACCGCATAGAATATACACTACAATGTAGTCTGACGTCTGTGCTGAGAATAACTTGCAGCTGGCGTCTATTCTGGCTTATCATAACATCATCACTGTCGGTTGTGGAGATGAGAACCAAATGATGAAATGTCAAATCTGGCAATAGCATCACGGTCTCTGTGTATATTTGCCTTACTGAGGAAAATGATGCCTTTTGGGTTGCGGCTGACAGCTGCGATATACAGAATAGGAATTCAAAAGAGTGAAATCTGACTCCGATTTTAAAGGATGTTTAAAAATAACCTACCTGAGTGAAACCTATCTGTAAATAATTACTGCATGCATCCAAGTATTTTATTATTAGTTCTTTAAAAGTGTTAGGCTTTTCACTCTTTAATACTTTTACCTTTTATGCTATATGTTATGTTAAATAAATGCTTTATGTGTTTTAAGAAATGCAGAGATTTGAGAGCCACAGTTAAGCAATTGGTTCTGGGTTAATGCAGAAGCTGCTTGGTCTAATTTCTTTCTGATCTTTGGGGTTGAATGAAGACCTCTAGAACACTGAAGACTGTTGAATGCTGGCAAAGGGTATGGCAGAGAGGACAGCAGACTGTCTAGCTCCTGGAGGGCTGGTCAGGCATGTTTCTAAATTTGAAAAGGCAGATTCTTCCAATGCATACAAGTGAAATCCTCATTGTGCTCCACACCCTGTTTCTTCAACAGGTTTTATTCAGTAAAGGCAATGTCACTCATCAAAGTATTTGCATCATGAGTTGGTTTTGATGATCTGCAATCTTGTCTGTTTGTGAACCCAAGGAATATTCATTAGCTACCATCACACTCACATTCGGTGCCTCTGATGGCATTCTCCTGCTTATCTCTGATTCACTGTGCTCGCTGCCTACTCTTTTTTGCAGGTACAGGAAAGTTGTTTCTAATGTGTGTGAAGGTGGCGTAGACCTGCAGCAGAACTTAGCACAGCATATGTGTCCATCGATTGCTCCCAAGGGGCTTCAGGTCAGCATCAGAGAAGAAAGCCTGGCTGTTAAGCCTGGCGAAGACATCACCTTTGTCGTCAGACAAGAGCAGGTAGTAATGAACATTGGCTTTATGAAAGTTTCCTCACTATTTTTAGGGTTCATTTCCCTCCTACCTGCTTTGCTGCTGAATGAAGTTTAATTCGTGCTTGAGACAAAGAGAAATGACTCTTTAACTATTGAAACTTCTGTTTTCAAGTGCATCAGACAATCCAGTAAGCTCAGCGAACCACCAAGTTCTGTCCACAGAACAGGATTTGTCTCCTCAGCGTAGCCAGTTATGATTCCTTAAAGGCAATGGCTTCTTGGAAAATCAAAGGAACTAAATTACCAAAGTCTCCTTGGCCTGAAAATTTCAACTGCTGTATCAGAGAAGAACAGAAATGCAAAGAACATTTAATATTCTGGTTTAAGTGTTTTTGAGAATCTGCCTTTCAGAAAGGAATGAGGCAAAGCTTTACAGAAATCAACAAATAGCACAGCATAAGAAAATGTATTATATATTAGTTGTGTTGCCAAGGATATGTTTTTTTCTATTTATTGAGAGAGACAATGCCCTAAGGCCCTGACCAACAGCAGTGAGTAACTTTTGGATGTATTGTTTGCCATGGGTATGTTTCCTAATGCTTGTTTTTTAGCATTAGGCTATAACTGCTGTGCTCAGGTTATGGGCGTATTGTACTTCCTGGCTAACCCCACTGATTTGCAAGAACTTGAAGAAGGTTTACACATTTTGGCAAACCTGAGCGATGTAAATCAGGCACTTGGGATTTATTTCTGTAATAGAATCAAGAAGGTTACGTGCAGAACACCGGACTACTTAATGCTTCACAGGCTCTGCGTCTCAATGCTTGCAGTGCCCCAATGGTTTGTGTGGCAAGTTATGCTGCCTTCTCTTTTTATAATTTGTTTGGAAATGTTTATTGTAAGAATAGAGCATTTGGTTGCAATTTGGACTCTAATGATTTTGATTGGCAGTTTGAATTTTTTTCTTATTGAAGCTTTTACGAATCTCTGTGGCAATACTTAAATATTTAAAACTATTCCAAAACCTTCAGAAGTGAGGGATCTTGAAAGGAATCCCATGCTGTTTCTGATGAAGTCTTTGCTTGGTACATCGAAGTGGAAGGCAGATTTAGAAGAAAGGTAGCAGTTTGCTGCCCCCTATGGCTAAGAATAATATTTATGTTCAAATGTCCTGAGCGTTGTTTAGGATTTAATCTGTAAAACAAAGTCTAATGAGAATTCATAACAATTACTGAGTTTAAGAAACAGCTCTACTAGGATAAACCAAAACATACCACTTTCTGTGCTGAACAAAATTAATTCAGTAGTTTAGTGAACGCCTGTTACTAGGTGCAGGAATGCCAGACATCAGGCAGTAAAGAAAGCAGGCTTCAGGTAGGTTTGGGCAGTTTGCAAGTGGCCTTAGAGACAATAATAGTTTATAATTGTAATTTTTTTTTCCCAAATTCTGTTGGCTGAGTGTATGAATAAATAATGTCATGATGATCATCTATTTTGCATGGAAGTGGAAGCCCCAATTCCTTTTAAGTTTAGCTGCCTTTTCCCTATATGACTTTTGTTATCTGTCCACTGCTCTCTGTCTTTCCTGGTCAGGGAAACTGAAGTGCCTTGATGTTTTGAAGACAGCACTCTCATCTTTACACTAGGGAAACTATTAGAATAAAACGTTAAGAGAAGCCTGCATCTACTGGCTTTCAACACTGGTTTCTGTCTCACCTGGAAGAAATATGCATGTATACTTGTTAGCATAAGAAAGAGTGAACAAGAGCTGTTTGCAAGCTAATGTCATCTAAAGAGATTCCACTTACTGGCACATTGCTGGCAAGAAGACATCTCTCTTGCTTTAAACTTTAATAACGTATTATCTCCTCTGCTAAATTCTACCCATCTGTTGTCAAAAGAAAGATGTTATTTGGAAAAAAATATTCATAGTGAAGACGCTTTCAAGGTCCTTCATGTGTGTTGAAATATGGTGTTTAGGTATTTGCTAACCCTACAGGTTCCTTATTATGGGTATTCTTTTACATTATAAGCAATGGTCTTTCATCTGATAAAACACGGAAGAAAATCAACCAAACTGCAAAATAATAAAAGGAGGAAATAATAGTATGTTTTCCTTCCCTTTGTAATGCCAGGGTACGCAAGTTCTAGGCTTTGTTGCCTCCTTTGATTTTACATTAGTGCTGCCTTTTGGGATTAGATTTTGATATAAACCTATTTCAGAGAGTGGCTTATGGGAGAGTGAAGTGATTTGTTAATACTCTGATGAACGTCAATCCTTGTCTGCTCTGATGGCCATTCAGCTCACCTGACTAGCATATGGATGTATAAGGTCCTTTCCTAGAGACAATGAAGATTTTTAAACCAACACTGTGTTTTCACAATACAGAGGATTTTGAACCAAGCCTGGCCCTGCAACCTGTTTTAACTGCATGACTGTGATGGCTGTGTACCGTGGCAAGCGAGCAGGAACATATTGCTGAAGACTAAGGGAGCAGGGCAGCTCACTAAGGCAGTGCTGCCGGTAGTATTGAGAAAGTGTTGCTGCTCACAGCTAAAATAAATTTTCCTTCGACTCCCCCCACATCACCAGTCCACATAGCATAGGCCTGACTTCTTTCCTGAGCAGCCACACCATGACAACATGAGTGATAGGCACAGGTTTGTCCTCTGACAGTAGTATCAGTCTTGCAGTATTTTAGGCCTGAGTTAGGAAGACAGTGTCATTTAAAGGAGCACTTAGCAGAAGTGCAATGTATTATAAATTCTGCGAGATGTTTGACATGACAGAGTTATTTGGCTGGACTTTTAAACCCTTTCCCAAACTCAGCTCAATAATCTGGTTCATTAGGCATGCATCTAATTTTGCAGCAGAGCATGTTAGTTCTAGACATGCTGGGAGCTCTGTATAATGCAGCACAACTCTGTGTGAAGACCCTAGCTTTGATCTTGAAGGCTATATATGGTTGACGCTGAGCGGGTGTGATTAGAAGGTGCTGTGAAGTGGGTCTAAACCAATTAATTTAACTTTATAATTGCATAGGCTAGAAGTTCACTGGATGAGTGGTAATTCGCTAAAATAACAGTATTCAGTTGTTTGCAATCATATGAGCATCACTCCAGAGCTTGGGGCTGCCCTGCACTGTTATGTTATTTAATGTCCAGCTGCGTTAAGACAAGAGTGATGGTTTCTATGTCATACAACTTGCTTAGTGGTCTGGTTGTTTTATTTTAAGGTAGTACCTTACTGTGGAAATTTGGTATTGTCTCTATTAATGCACACAACATCTGTTGCACTAAAATATCTGCCATGGGTGTAGTGGTTTTACTGCAACTATTGCAATTGAGTCAAAATATCTGGCTGGGGCTGGAAATGCTGTTGTGATTCAGGAAATGGTTATAATCATGTCCTGTCTATTTCAGTTCTGGCCATTTAAAATATTTTTGATATATTTTCCTTTTAGGGTGATACACTGAATACCAAATACCAGGTAGATCTTGGAGATGGCTTTAAGGCGATATACGTGAACCTTACGATGACTGGAGAACCCATCCGTCACCGCTATGAGAATCCTGGGATTTACCGTGTCTCGGTGAAGGCTGAGAATGTGGCTGGGCATGATGAGGCTGTGGTGTTCGTCCAAGTCAACTGTAAATCAGCTCTTTGGTTTTCTTACTTTTGCTACTGTGTAAAAACCTCATGACAATGAAGTAGTAAAGAAAATTACTAATAATTAGGAAAAATGCTTATTTTTTCGACAACCTCATGCAGTCTTGCAGTGCTGTGTGTTGTTAATGCAGAAGCTTGTAAAGCTAATGTATTAAGAAGTCAGAGTTAGTTTTGTTTGGATTGGGAGAAGGATGCTATATTAATCTTTTAAATAGCAAGCATGCCTCAATTCCAATCTCAGGTTTGATCCATCTTCCTGACTCAAGACCCTGTTGGCAGTCTTAGCAGCTAAAATGTAATACTTCAAGCTATGTCTTTTTAGGAGCTTCTAGGTGCTGTGTGAAGCAAGCGAACAGACATGTTGAGAAATGTTTGAGCTCTTGTATGATTTTAAAAAAGACTCAAAATCTCAGTGTTTTTAAAAGTGAGGTTAGTTATTAAAGTACTAGAATCTGGATTTTAGGTAGTTAATTCTCACAAAGTTTTAAAGTGGTACTTGGGTATAACTTAATGTTGGCAGGCAGTATTACGTGACTTAGATTTCTCTCCCTCTCCTTAATTAAGACCTAAAAACCCCCATCAAATAGATTTAAAAGAAAAGAATAGCATGGCACAGGGAATATCGTGCACCATCGCAAGCTTAATGTACCTCAGTCATCTCATAATTGAAATGAAGAAGGAAACTCATAACTGGAACTGAATTTTCCTCTTTGTTAGAGATTCAAGACAGCTACTACTTTGCCATTTTCAGATGTGTCAAAAACTCAGAAACAAGTAACATCAAAAGAAAAGATACTCATCTTGCATTCTCCAGGTGTCTGTTTCCCTCTGTTGTGAGTGGCGTGTCCTCCACCCTAATCCCAAAGCAATGGAAACCGCTGAAGCCACATACAAGGCTGTGCACAGATCCACGTGCTTTATGTCACCCTGTCTAGTGACTGCTGATATTTATGTATTTTGTTAGTCAGAGTCCTTGAGTCCAGAGTTTCCAGTTCTGCTTTGATTAGCAGATGGAGCCGAACACATTAATGCTAATGGTCAATCTCGTATTAAAATCAAATGGAAAGGATCAGAATCAAAGTCTTTGCCTCAGTTTCATTATCTGTTTCATTGTTGTGGTTGGTTTTTAAATCATTGGACAACTCCAGAGAGCTCAGATAAATTACTTAGGGCTTCACCGTTACTTTTCCGGAGCTTCTAGGTGCTGAGAAGTAGATTAAGCGCAGGAACAGTAGATCTGTACAAGCAATGAACAGCGGAAAACTCTGTAACATCCTTCTCTCCAGGGAGAACAACTTCTTACCATTAAGAGAATGATGAGCAGTAGCAAGCCCTGATGGAAAGCTGAACAACCCTTTTCTGAAAATGTGCTTCTGGGGTGACCTACATCAGGATAAACAGTAAAAATAAAAGATGTCGACTGTGTTTTATGCAGTGGATTTACCAATTGCAGAAGCCAGAGGTATTTTTCACAAGTAAAATGACTGGTGCGCTGAGAGGACTTTGGTGCTGTAGTGCAGAGGCAGCAGAGCAGGGAAGCAGATGTGGTCCATTCCTGAGCTTTTCCGTGGATGCTGTGCATGGTCTGGAAGACTCACAGAACTATGTTACCCAGCCTGCTTGAATAAATGCTTTCTGTGCAATTTGCTCCGTTTAATTTTTTAGGTAAATTACAAGATTTGGGAAATTAGCTGGCACTAATTAAACTGCAATTTCTACGTTCTAGAGAAACAATAATAGCCATTCAGGGACATTTTTCCCTATCAAATACCATGAAAGCATAAATGTCCCTGGAGTCCTTTGTTCACTCTCTCTCTCTGATATATTCCCAGGGAATTTTTTCAGGGACAAATGGTAAAGGGAATATTTTTTACTCCTGCCAAGTTCTGTTGCTATGGGATGCCCCGTAATGCCGGACAATTATATGAACTTTGGCCTGTCATCCAGGTTATGCTTTCTGATCCAGATCACGCAATCTACAACTTGTTAATGAACTGTAAAAGAAATTAGAGCAAGTCTGATAGTATAAACGTGAGTAGGTAGCCCAGAATAAAAGGAACTGAAGAAGAACTAGGCATACATTTTCTTTTTCATGAAACCATAATCTCTGTAGTGTGCAAATAATTGGAGAGCTTTGAAAACTGTGCTGAAATTGTAGCTTCCTTAAACAGAAATAGTGTAAGTCAACTTCTTTCATCATTGTACCCACTTAAGGGTGCTGTAAAGCTTGTCCAAATGCATTATGGAGTTGTGTGACTGAGAGAAGCAGAACAACTCACAATCATTATTTTTAGCTCGTTAATATATAGGAATGGCAAACTTGAAATCACCGTCATCATTCAAGGACCAAAGAACTTCCCTTCTAAAAATTTTGGAAAAGAAAGTAACCTTCTTCAGGAGCAAAATCATATCTCAAAATGATCTGTTTCGTCTGGGAAAATGTAAATTTATGGCAAAATCAAAACAGTGGCGCAGATCCCTCCAGACCTCTTTAATTTGCCTCATCAGAAGGAAAATCAATTTCTAGGAGGAACAAATGTAATGGAATTCCTACAACTTCTGAATTTTCTTCAAGACACCAGCAATAGAAGAGCATTTTAACTCTGTTTTGGTAAAGAAACTATTGAAGAAAACATTTGTTTGAGCACCCAACATATCTTGAATTCATGTAGATGGTAAAAGAGTCATCGGAGAAAATGCTGAGTGAAAGTAGAGCCTTACCTTTGGATGAAGCAGCACACAGGCTGGTTGAAGTGAGGTGGAAAAGGAGGGTGTGCACAGCTCAGACAAAGTTCAAAGTGAATTAGAAGTGAGTGGGCAATGATTCAGTTCATGAAAGAAAGTAAGAGAAAGACTTTGGACTGGTGTTGATTACCTTTAAGTTAGCACTGAGATGAAAGACCTCTGAATGAATTAAAAGATACTTAGAATGGAACAAAAATGGGTGGGTTATTATTCATTCTGTGTAATGAATGCATTTTGGACCATACAGCAGTTTGTCATCCTGGATAGATGGTGTAGCTAAAGTTAAGAAATGCTGGTTATCACATTATGCTATTATAAAGCTTTTACCTTGAGACATTCTGAAAAAGATATACTCAGAAACCTCCAAAGGAAAAGATTTTCTTTCAATAGAGTTATTTTACTATGAAGCAAAATACACCATTAAGAAGCAGATAAAATCATTGTAATGATGCATTTCTTTTATACAAATAATAATGTTTACAGCCTTTGTAGGCAAAAGTTCAGAAAGGAATAAACTTAGTCAAAGGCACGTTTTGGAGTACAGAGGTTATCTATTTTGATTTGCAAATAAATGCTCCCCTGATGTACACATCTATTTTAAAGCATGCATTAATGAGAGTTTATGTGTGGTGTGAGCATAACAGCTGATATTTCATAATGAAAATGAGTAGTCAGCAACATTCTTTTTCAGTTTTCTGCTTTTCCCTTAGCAGTTTGAGATGTGTTAGATTTCTATTCATTTGATCTTTTATTACTTTAAAAAAAAAAAAAGAAAAGCCGAGATTGCCTTTTCCACTTTTTAACTGGGATATTTGCTTATGTTTTCTAGAAAAAAAAAACCATATGCACCAAAAAAAGTGCATCAGAGAGATGTATTTTGGTGATCTGTCTCATTGCTCTAGGATTTTGTTTGCGGGTTTGGGGTTTTTTTTGGTTGAAATGAGGTCCTTACAATTATTCTCATAGCTTTCAATGCAGATGTAAAAGTAGAAGGGAGGGAAAAATAAATTCAGGACCTTATAGCGTGCAGGTGAGAGGCTTTTGGGGAAAGAGGCATTAATAAATTGATGGATTCTTGTTCAATGATATTTTGGGAACTTTGTTCAGCTCCACTGCAGGCCTTAAATTTAGAAGTGGTTCCAGTCATTGGGAGAAACCAGGAGGTGAACCTGACAGCCATCATACTGCCTAAGAACCCTAATTTGACAGTCTTCTACTGGTGGATAGGAAACAATCTTCAGGTACATGAACGGTTTTGACTGAGATTATTTTCAATCTCTTTCCAGTAAAGGTTGAGTCACACCTTTTACCTTAATAGAAATACTACCACTTTGCACAACTTCTTTTGGACCATCTTTCATTCCAAATAGCCAGTTATGTCTGGTGGCAAGCAGTATCTAACTTCCCCTGTTTTATCACATACATTTAAGATGTTAATTTCCTTTTTTTTGCTACTTACGTGGAAATGGGAATTTCTCTTCTAGAATTGGTTTGAATTTCTAAACTATTTTCTTTTTGGGAGAAATAACAATTTATTCTATTTCATTGCCTATTAAAAAAAACTTTTGGAGGGGGATGCATTTGGGATCATAGCATTGGTGAATGATGAAGCTTGGATTTATGCACTTCCATGTTGATAATGTGAGTACTGTAAATTTAAGTGCTATACAGAAGTGTATATATATATATATTCATTGTAAAGATAAATATTTTCTGGGAGTCTAAAATAAAGTGGCATATCAAAAACAACTGAGATATCTAAAAGGATATCAAAAGAGTGAGAGCACTCAAACAATCTAGTGATATTCATTTGGGGATAGAAAGTCTAGATAAACATATCCTAGAGCAATAAATATCCAACTATTTCTATGTAGGAATATTTCCTGTCTAGCTGGGTTAATTTCTTTAAAGGTAATTCTTTCAATAACAGATAAGTAAAATATTTTCTTTATGACGCAGACTAAGCAAGACAGAGAAATGCTTCAGATAAGCGCAACGAACTTTCTTCTTGTAAATGTGCTGTCTACCGTAATCCCAGCCTGTATCTGTTCATTATTATTGACTTTGCTATTGCTACAACAGACACTGCAGATCGATGTAGTCTTGTGAAGGGTTTTGTAATTCGTACGAATGTGGTCAGGGAACAGAGGATCTCAGCTCCGCCTTGGAGGTTACGGTGGACTGGTGCACTTCCATGGGTCGTGGTCTAAGTTGACAGAATTAATCCTTTTGACTCTGACATACCCTACATTTTTTGAGGCAAATGACTTGCTACATATGATCTTGTAGAGATTGTTGAGCCTGCCTCAAAATCTATTTATTTCAGTGGGATGTGAATGAAAACCTAATACTCTACCAATTATTCTGAAAGAAATGTTTGCCCATCTGGCAGCTATTCTGTTTATAAAGGATCCATTTAGGGAAAGACACATCCTGTATTGAAAATTTTAATTGAACAATTTGATAAAATTATTAATTGAATAATTGGTGTGAAACCTTTTTTGCTAATATTTTTAATGACAGTCTCTTCAGACACTGGTCTCATGGTTCTTGCTGAAATTCTATTTTCAACTTTTCTTTGCTTTTTAAAGCCACTCCTTACATTGGAGAGTTTTCTGGTGACAAAGTTTGCTGAGACAGGTGACATCAGAGTTACAGTGCAAGCTTCCTGTGGGAGCTCCATGCTTCAGGACTCAAAAGTTGTCCACGTTTTTGGTGAGCCATTACTCTCGTTGATTTATTTTTCTTTGTTTCATGTGTGCTTGTTTCTTATACCTCTTAGACCAGCCCCGACACAACTGAACCTGTTGTAAAATTATATCTAATGCCACATTTAATTCTTAAACTCAGAGGTAACTAGGTAACTCCATGAAGTTAGAACAGTGGGATTGTATGGAAAGGTTTCATCTGAATTCACTTATTTTAAATGTTACTGTGGTTCCCAACTGCTATATGTAGCAATACTGTTTAAGTAGTATTTTGGCCTATGGCTAGAAAGTTTCTTAGAATTTCTAAATAAAGTAGTTTAAATACCTCTAAAATAAAGAAAATTTAGTTGTGTATGTGCTCTCAGCATTAAAAATGATGTGAAGTAATTGGCTTTTATCACAGTATATCACTGTTCCTTTGATGTTTACCTGAGAGTTTGGATCAAGTATAGCTCCACTGTAAATTATTGAATAACCCTTCAGCTCTTGTTTCACATTGTGCTTTGGTGTGTTTTGTTGTTTCTTATAATGTGGTGACAAGGCATAATATACTGTGAAAAATGTAGTGCCAACAAATTATTTACATTTGTATTTATGCTGTCACATGTGGGAATTGTGATAAGTGAAAAAACTTCTTTTTAATGCAGAGCTAAAAGCCTTCAGATATCATGAAATACACAAGATGATACCTCTCTGTTGTCTGAAGAAGTTATTTTTGCTTTTAGTGTACTTATTAATTTAAAATAATGGTAAAAACCACATTCATGCTAAATGGAGCTTTTATGAACCTTCTCCTTTCCTAAGATAAATGGATTTAACGTTTATGCTACCACTTAAAAGTGCATCTACTTTTTAAGAAATCTTTAGAAGTATAACACTCTTAGTGTGACTAGATCAATGACTTTGGCTTTCCAAACGGCTTCTGTTCTTCATGTTGGCCAATCCTGATACCAAGAGCAAGAAAGTACTGGCCATGAGGGAAATAAAGAAACCTTTGGAAAAGAAAACCACATTAAAATACAATTCTGTTGGAAGTGTTGGGGAGGCCAGCCTTGACTCATGCATTCCAGAGGATCTCTTCTCTGCTTTGCATTAAGTTCCCCAGGTGTTCATCCAAGGAGCCTATATGGAGAAAGGGAAGATTTTAGAGACTGTTTACTAAGGAACAGCCCATTTGTAGTATTTTAGATATTTTTGACAATATCCAGAGAAATTTTGCAGGTGTACCTTGTTTTTGTTTTTTCAAAGAGGGACATAGTTAGCCTTTGTCATATAATTTCTGTTCTTATTTTCATAGCTAGTTTATGGAGTATGTAAAGTATTCATTTTACATGAAAACCAGGAATATGTAGTGGACAAAAACCACATGTTTATGATTCAGTGAGAATAAAATCCATTGGCGCATTCCCATTACAAATAAAAGAAACCGACCACGTCTGTGTGGTGTATTGTCCTAAGAAAAAAATACTGGGAAGGTATGGCCCCAGACCATGTATGTAAATCTGCTTTGTTTATATTTTTTCGTCCTGCTTTTTTATGTTTAGGCACATATTTGATGACATTGATGAAAATAGAGAAAGAAATTGAGTGCCTGACGGGAGCGTACTCTTGCTCCATGAAAGAGTACACAACACAGAGCAGTGATCCCAGATACTGCAGCGCTGCGCAGCAAATAATGCCAAATACATCTTTTCAGCTTCTATTTCTACAAAACTGTTTTTGCAGCCTGGTTTGTTACTTGTTCAAAAATGTTTCTTTCTGTTTTTCTAGATCATTTCCATGTTCTTCCTCTGAAGTTTACTAAGCACCTGGACATGTATAACCCCGACATACCGGAGTGGAGGGAGGACATAGGGCGGGTAGTAACACGACTTCTTGCAAAGGTGCTCTTTCAGATTGCTCATAAAATGTTCCCTTGCCAGTTGTAAAGCCTGAAGGTTAAGTTAATGCCTTCTCATTTAGAAAAAAGGAGGCAGAGCAAAATAATAAAGTGAACCTCATGAGCCACATTTCAAACAAGTTTGAGCCTAGTGTCGCTTTTATGTGCAGGCTGTAGACGATGATATTGTAACATAGACAGTTTAGGTCTAACACAGCCTAATTGGCAATTAATGCTAAATATTGCTCTCTGGGATTAGGGATAGACATATTGGCAAATACTGCTGACTCCAAAACAGGAAGAGGAGCTTAAATGTGATATATTTAGAAGTTAAGTAGAGGATGCTGTGTATTATAAAAGACATAATCTTTGTGTAAAAACAAAGCAGAAAGAAAGAATTTACAATGCCAGTTGTGTAACTTTGAAAATTACATATAATATGTAGGCCCGCAGTTCATACAGCTGGTTTTTTAGATCACGTTCACAAAAGAAGTGTGGATTGGGAGCAGCTGAATCCTGTAGGTTAAATCAAGTACGAAGCCATGCAGCAGTACTGTGAGATACGTAAAGAGCACCTCATGAAAACTGTGAGCTCTAGAGCTGTGGTCCTCAGGTACACGCACTGCCAGCAACTGAGTGTGCACACACTGACTTTTGTGAGGGCAATAGCACTGAGGTGCAATTTGATAAATACTTGCATCTGAAATCACTTGACTTTTCCTGGTTTTGCAGTAGTGCAAATCAGGTTCTGGAATTTTGAATTTGTACTGTTTCCTGCCTTCTTTTTAAGGCTCACATCAAATGTCAAATTAAAGTAATTTCCTACTTTTATCGACTTAAACCCATTCCATACCCAGTGTCAGTCAAACAAATATTTTACTCCCTTATAAAATAGCCTTTGCATTTTAATAATTACTAAATCATTTGCATAAGAATATGAACGATATAATGGAATTTCAGAATCTGTTTGAGAAAGGCTACGGGAAGTGCCCAGGGTGTTGTCATTAGAAATGTGTGGCTGTATTATACAAGACATGGAGGAATTTGGGACTAAAAGCAAAATTTGCACAAACTATTTTGAAAAGGGATGCACTTCACTTTCAGTGGGGGATGCAGGTATTCATCACAACTTCAGGAACTGAACCCGGGTGCTCTTAGTCTCACCCTGGAAGACTTCTCTCTGTCCATTAAACACAGATAGAAAAGTAGCCTCCCTAAGCTAAAGTTATCTGTAATGAATATGCCCTTCTAAGTCTACTAAGTGTCTGAATAGCCCACAAAGAATCCTAAATCACTTAGGAATTTTTTTTTTTACGTTACCATAGAAATGCACAGCCATTGCAGAGTTTTGCTAAAACTGCATACCACTTCATTCTTCTTCTTTCCATGATGCCACTAAATCACTTTAATGCAATAACAATGCTTAGCTCTTCCAATCTTCAAAGAGCAGCTCACATTTCTGTTAATTTAAGTTTGGCTTTGTTCATGTTTTAGCTTCTGCTGGAATCCCCTCTAAATATTGGGGATCTGAACACCAAAGACTAAAAGACACATGTGGAGTTACTTATGTGTTTTCTATAAAATATGAAGCATGCTGTCCTGTAATTTGCCATATGCCTTTGTCTTCGCAGGAAACCAATATACCTGAAGAAACTCTCATGACAGTCGTGAAACCCGGTCTGCCCACAACTGCTGACTTGCATGTGCTACTACCAGCAAACCAACCAAAAAGGAAAAGAAGCGTGACTAGTGATAAGGTAACCAGAGCAATGTATGTCTGGTTAGGACAGTCTTCATCCTGTTTTGCAGTCAGTGGCTGTACTGTCATTGTCTTTATGGGAAATTAAAGGGTGCTCCCTAACTATGTAAAGATCTCACTCCTACCTGACAAGAGACATGTAAAAGCTAGCAACAGCTATGACTGCTGCATTCGACAATGTATAGACCAGCATAATCTAGTGCTTACTCGTATTAGTGTATTTCTCAAGAATAACTAATATCCATCTGTTTTTTAAACAGAAACAACAGTGATGGCATGTCAGTCTGTGAAGATCCGGTAGAGCAAAGAGTGTATTTAGGACACTGATATTTCTAAAGGGGGATGAACCATCTCTGCACTGTCTTCAGAAGCAGATTTCAGGTCAAACAGAAACAGAACCTTAGTAGTTGACCTATAATGTAAAAAGCATCAAGCAGGTAGTTTCTGCCTTTATGAGCAAATGCCCTTTTCAATTGGCAAGAAACAAATATAGTGAACACAGGAATGAAAATCAGACATTAGTTTCTCCCTACTTATTTCCAAACAATATTTCTTCCATAATAAAAGGCCTTATACCAGTTGAAAATCGGAAGACTGGCACTTACAGTTTATGGTATTTGTCCTTTTGCTGTGATAGAGAAGGAACAGATCCCAACACTGTGCCTGTATCTTGCAGTTCAAGTCCTGCCAGTTACAAAGAATCCCAATGTAAGGTATTGTTAATTTTAAAGGGCATTTTACAACTTTTTGAGACAAGGTCACGGTATCCAAATTGCTGGAGAAGTAGGTAAGATGAAGCTCTTCATATTAACTCAAAACCAGTAGATTGTGTTTGGAATTGATAGGCTGCACTTTGGAAGGTCTAAAGGAGTACGTTGATGTTGTCAAAGTACTTGAACAGGTGTCTTACTTTAAATTGCACAGAGTACAGTGTGAATGCACAAAATTTTCTGCTTTGTGGCAACCCCCAACTCTCACTGTTCTCCCTCTGTAATCACAGTGGGAATTCCTAGGATCTTAAATCCTGATTATGTTGCAGGAAATGGTTAATTTTAACGGGTTGTTTGATTAGTAGAGAGCCATTCACGTACTATGGCTTTCAGCCAGGTGAGTATTACCACTTCAAAATTACTTGCATCTTTCCACTTCTTGAAGAAGGAAGGTGCAGCTTCTAGAGGAAATTCTTTCTCTTTATTCTCAGCATATATGGAATGGGCATCTCTAATAATTTAAGGAAACTGATGGTGATAGATTCATAGCTTGTGCAAACATTTTATTTCAGTGCAAAGTGTGATGCATATTAGTTCCCTTTAAATCTCAACTGTTATATTAGTGCTGTGCTTCAAGGCAGCTTAAAGAATATTATCAATTATAATCAATGCTGTCTCAAGGTTCTTTTCATGTTTGTGTATGAAACATCAAGTGAGTTACTCCAAAGCATAAAGAAGAGCAATCACATGATTTGGGAAAACTTCTGTTTAGTGGGACTATGGGGAAATTACAGTAGTTTAGCAGGGCACAGTTTCTGTAACAAGTAGTCCTCTGGTAAGACCTTGCAAAGGTTTTCTGAAGCTAGAGGAGCACTGAAAGGTGAAAGTAATTGTATAATCTGGAGAATAGATATACATTTCTGACATTATTAGGATGGACCAGGTCAGACCAGTGGTGGCTGGGGATTACATGTATGGAAGTACCAAATGTGGTACAACCTACATTTGGTTGGAGCAGGAACAAAGGGAGACAGGAGCAATTACAGCAACCTGTGCTATCCAATGATAAAAAATCAGGTACACTAGTATCACATTTCAACACCGATTATTTTATGGAGTACAATGCTGTAGGGCCAGCCTTCTAGAGCCAGCTGCCTAAATTTCTATTTTTGTATTATTGCTAAGGGATACTACTTTAGCTATTGATATGTGCATCTAAATTTGTTGATGCAGAACTGAATGGCACAAATTTTGATAAAATACGTGTTGTATCAGAATCCATTGTGACTCGAAGAATATCCTGAAAATATACCCTATGTAAATAAACTTAGAAGCAGTAACTGGTTAAGTCAACAGGAAAATACTCATGGTGTCACTTGTTTAAAGATTCATTACATTCCCTTCTGTTACCAGAAGAGAATCTTGAAGGTCTTCATCATGTTTCACTGGAAGGATGTCCTTAGTCATGCTGCTAGTGCCAGTTCTCAGTGTTGTGACACTGTTGTGAGGACTCACCAATGCAGAATGTTTTCTGCACATTTGGAGGAGGTGTCCCTGAAATCCTTAACTTAGACATAGTTATGAAATGTCTTCCCTTAAAGAGAACCTATTTGTTCTTGGCTGAAAACCTTTTAGATTTGGGATATTATGTGCTTTCAGAAGGATTGTTAAAGGCAATAATTTTTTGGTCAGGCAGAGAACACATACTTGGTGGAGTTTCTATTGGTGTTTTACATGGGGTGTTGTGATGTGATGCTATTTATTAAGTTAGTGGTCTAGAATAGGAGTCATTACTGATAAAAGTAGCCAGCAATAACAAAGATCATAAGTAAGTTGGCAATGTAGTAGCAGGAGCCCTTGGATAATTCTCAAGTTTGGTTCCATTCTGAGAAAAGCCCTTTTTCTATCAAATTTATGCCTGTAGAAATAAAAGCTGAGTGTGATTTAACCTGGTTTTAATAACACAGTGATTTCAAAAGTATTTAATTCCAATCATTGACTCTAGAGGAAGACTAGGTTGCTTAATTTGTGCACATCTGTTACATGTCTAATGTCAGGTGAGATGAATCCAGCTGAAAGAGTCAATTAAAGTGCGTTTAAACTGTGCCTGGAGAGCAGTGGCTCTGAGGAAGATTTGGGGCTCTATCTAGACAAACTACTACATGAAACTTCTCAGTGAGTTGCTTTGGCAAAAAGGGTAAGGCGGACTCCCAGATATATAAGTAAGTGGGTAAGAGTTTGAATAGTGTTGGTTTTGCATCCTTATACCACAGTGCAGGAGCCATTGCGTTCACAAGTTCAAATATTCTCATTGGAAAGGATGTAGAAAAAGAAGATAAAAAATTCAAATGGTGGTGGGGGAACCTTAACTTAGAGAGTCAAGGGAGGAGCTCCAAACACTAGATTTGTTTTTTAAAAAGTGGGAGAGGTGGCAGCACTGTGCTTAATAAATACCTTGGGGCAGAAAAGAAGCCTGTGAGTACTGAAACAACCATCAATCTAACAGTGAAATAAATAAGCCAGAACCTTTGGCTGGATTCACAGGAGGTTGAAATTTTTGACCTGTGGAAGTGTAGTTTCTATAGGCTTGGGTGGGAACCCAGGGGTGAGGAGAGAAATAACGAACAAGTGTTAGTCAAGTGTTAGTCACTTAAGCAAAAACCAGAGCAAATGTTGGATTCCTCAAACAGCTGCCAGGAAAATATGATGTATGCAAAGTTATAGGGCTCAGTAATTTCATTTACTGGCTGAAAGTCAGATTAGCCTGAAGTACTTACTGGTCCCACTTGCATTGTATACCATGAACATGTGAATGAACCTGGACTGACACTAAGTAACTCTATTTCAGTGGTGCCAGCATCACTTTAAAGGCTGCTAATCAATATAGTTGTCATATCCATTCTCTTTTCAGACTTTGGACAAAAAGATAAATACTTAGGCACTATCTGGAGTAATTGTGTTGTAAAATAACTGAGGCCATGCTCACATCACCCTTCTGTTGAGTCATTCCCTCACAAAAAATGTAATAAAGTCAGTGGAATGGCTTCAGAAGTTAGATATTCCTTAATAAGAGTGAGGATATTTGAATTTGAACTTTTGTGTAGTCTCTGTCCATAACCTGGGAGAGACTACAGAGATTTCTATCTATTATACTGCAAAGGCTTGTCAAAAATGAGCACCGTAATTGATAATATCATAAAAGGAGTTACTTGTGAAGGTTTCATGGATATAAAGCATATTTCTAATTTGGCATCCTGTGGGAAGTCATATCCTAAATTATATAAGGCAGAGAGTATAAAACTAGCTTTGATCTTTTAGAAAATTACTCATGTTGAAGACACAAGCAAGTAGAAGGGAAAATTCAGACAGTTTGTCATCTGGGGTTAGGATATGATGGTATATTTAATGGTTCTGCTCCATAAAAATGTGAGAGGCCATATTTTACTGTGCTCTACCCACTGGAAAAAAAATAGGAGGAATCCTGATTTTTTCCACATGGAGGGATGGATGTATTTCTATAGAGTATTGTTAAAAATTAGGTATAAATGGAATCCATCCCATTATAGGTAAGGAGATGAGGTAAATTACGACATGCAGTTCATTATCAAATAGCAGTTACTTTTCATAGCAAGAAATCTAAAGTGACATCGCAGGTTTTCTTCTGATAGGTTAGAAGAAGAATGGAGAGTTTTTAATATGGATTATGCATTGTGTGAGTTATGACCAAGGTAAACCCAATAGCGCGTGCAAATGACATGCTGTCTGTCATATACCGGGTAAACGTAAAAGCTTTGGTAAGGAGAAATATTTGGCTATAAAGATTTGACATTTTCAGCTTTTATGGCTTGTGGAGTTTTGCATGATTTTTAAATATGGAATTTCTTTAACATTTCAGCTCATCATTGACAAATGCTTTCTGAGTTTCTCACCATTTAATGAACCAGAGATTTTCCTTTTTAAAGCATTGAGCCTCTCAAAGTGGAACAGAGTGCCAGGTGTTTGACATTCTCCCTGTTGTATTTTCAGAGAATCGCAGCTATCAAGCAAGCCTTGAATGCACACAACATCAGTTTCTTTCTGAGGGGAGGATACTGGGTCCTAGTGACTTTAGCTGACTCCAGTTCAGGTAAATATATAAACAAAGCTCCCAACACACCAAGCCTGTCTGAGTTCTGATAAGTTAAGGAGAAAATCTTGATACCAATATAGATGTGTACATACACACACATATGTATATACTTACTTGGTACTTGTTACATATAGATACACACATAAATATATATGTGTGTACATATGTATGTATATATATACACAAAGACACACACATGTATATATGGATATATTTTCATTTGGTACTTGTTAACAATCACCACCAAATAAATGCTTCTTACATATTTCCATTTTGTCATACCTCATGATTTGTTTTAGAAGGTTCTTGCTTTTTTCTGTGTAACCATGACATTAACTAAACACTTATATTATACAAAACAGTGCCCTGAAGGAAGAGCCAATCAGGCTTCAAAAAAAAACCATCTGGTGAAGCACTTTGGCTGCATTGGCTGCCGAGAAAGCAGAGTTTCTTTACTGCAGCCATTAAGTCTGCAGATGTAACTCCAGAGATCTGGGACATAGTCTTGCATCTCTGATCTTCAGTAAGGTCTCCACATTGCTAATCCTGTCCTGACATAAATTATATGCTTTTTCTGTGTTAAAAACAAATGGAAATAGGGGGGGTTTGTGTGCATTTGCTGCATCTCTAGCTTCGCTATGTACCTGGAAACCGGTTGAAGAGCGTATGTGTGCCTCCATGTGTGTATATTTTGAACAGAGAGATGTTAAAATGATGTTTTAACCAGAAAGTTGAGCTTTGACATGAAACTTGTATTAGAATGTCCTGTAATTTTTGTGTATCGTATCCCACAGTATATTCTGCTTTCTTATTTCAATGCGTTTTTAGAGAACAGCTTAGCTGACCACAATCAATTTATGTAAGTACAGGTGTGATATTTCTTCTGTCAGCTCTATGTAGGAGACAAAGCTCTTCTATCTAGTCTCTAACGTAGAATCATGTTACAGTTCTGCTGTGGTACCTCATCTGGTTTAAAGGGCTAACATTTGTTAGCCAGCACAAAAGGCTGGGATTGAAAGAAGCTGATGTTCATTCCAGCCTCTACCAACGTACCACCTTGATGAGTTCATTTGTTGTTCAGCATCTTAGTTTCTCCATCTGTGAAATTAATACAGCCCTGCTTTTGCAATACATGTACTGAAGAGTATGTGAACATTTCCTGTGATAGATAACTTTAGATTCCCAGAAAAAAACCAAAACAGTGAGTATGCAAATAATTAAATCTTCAGGGTTTTGGTTGGTTTTGTTTTTTTTTTTAAATTGGTCCTCTGTCCTTCAGTCACAAGTCACTGATTAATTTTGTGTTGCCTTTTTGAAGAAGCTACAGGTGGAGTGAAAAGAAGAGGTTACAAAAATAACAAAAAATGGTTTTGACCTGACAATTAGATAGAAAAGAAAGCCCAAGAATGTGCCTAATCTGAAAGACGACGTGCTAAGCTGTTCTTTTATTTCATATTTCAGACTCTCAGAGGATTGGAGGAGGCAGTGGCTACTGGGCTATTGTGGTTCTCTTTGTTATCTGTCTAGTCGCAGTTGGGGCTTTCATCCTCTACAAGTTCAAAAGGCAAGTAAACCTTAATCAACAACATACACATTTTAAGAATTAGATTTATCCACAGATCAGCAAAACAGAGTTTGTTATTTGAAAGGAGATTTCTTGAAGAATTGCAAAAAGTCCACCACTTTGAAAATTGTGTTTTTCTGAACTTTTCAGACATCAAGGTAGGGCACTGATGCTTGCTTTCACTTGCAGTGTTCCAAGACAAATAGGAGCAATATGGGAAGTACAGAGAGTTTGTTCAGCTTGTCTAAATAATATCATCAAGAAATAGAACTGAACTAAAATGTTATTCCTGATTAATTCCTACCTCATTACTCCTAGCAGTTATGAATAAACTAAAGCTATCGGGACAATGAGTGCTGATTTGCTTAAAAAAAGCAGTTTTATCAAAATATGTAGCTCTGGAGTTTCTCTGTGTACACATTACATTTTAATTGCTGGGGCAATGCCACATAGAATGAGTGACGGAAGTAGATTAGCATTAATTTGACACTAGAGTATGTTGAGGGGAGAAATAATTCTGTAAGTGGGCTTTATGAGAGACGTCTTCTCAAAATTGACAGGGGATACCATGCCGGCCTTTGACAGTCTGATAGGTCTTTAATCTGCAATTTATTTTCATTGTAGCTACTAGGGTGCTGTGCAACTTAAAGAATTTTGTTCTTGTTGATGAGTTTGTGTAATCATTGGCTGTGTTCTTATTTTTGTATTGCTGGGGCATTTAGAAGCTATTGGGTTTGATCATACTGGAAGCCTTCATCATCATCAAATCCCGATGTCCTCACTCAGTGAGGATTCCTATTGATTTGTCTCATTCTTTAAAGAGTGGTTTTTATTTGAAGTAAATGTAAGTTTATAGAAGTGAGTGCGGCACTGATTATGTGATAGCAATAAGCGTAGATAGCATTTAAGAGTTTGTTTAGAAAAGATTTTTTAAGGCAATAGAGAAAAACTTTTTTACAAGAATTTCCTCACTGCAGCACCTAAGTTTCTTACAGCTCATAGTGGCTGATTGCTCTAAAGGACAAAGCACAGAATGCTGTATCAGACTGTCTACAACTGAATAAAAATCGATTTCACTATTTTAGGTGCCTGCAGCAAGAAAAAGCATAAAAATGGTTGATGTGATGTAATTATATTATTTCAGCAGCAATTCATGGAGGATTTGCTGTTTGTAGTGTGGGATCATAAAACTTGCTTGTGATAGCTTTCAAAAGCTGTATGATTTGTATCTTTTAGTAGCTCTTAAATGAGAGCAATTAAATAACAGAGACAATTACTGCATGGCAAAAGAAGTATAAAATATTCAAGAAAGGAAGAAAAAAATTATTTTCCTTGACTTCTTTCTAAAATGCCCAATGAACCATCGCTTTATAAATAGAGCTTTTATTAAGGAGGAAACTGTAGTACAATTTGCAAATTGCAAGCTTTAATGTCTCTTACACTTCTGTATATAATTTGTGAAAATAATTTGCATTTAAATTTTGTGGGCATTTAATTTAGGTGCGAGTGAGCAGAATTGTGAGGTATGTTCAAAAGTTTCTCAGTAGCCTGAAAATTGCTGTTGGCATTGATGAATGACCATGCAGTAGTATTCAATTTTGGTCCGTATCATACCTGTTACTGAGATATTTGACAGAATTATTTTCAAATATTCCTGCTAAGCTTTTCCAAGACGACAATTTTTTTTGGTTGCATCCTTCATTTGCAATTTGGTCTTCAAAGACTATTGAGCACCTAATCGGTGCTACGTTTGAAAAATTACTTTTTCCCCATGTGCTCCCTGTGAACTCCTTTCCCACCCAAATCTTTAATCCCTTAAAAAGTCTTTCTTGTGTTTATAAAGACTGATAGTGAATTGCTGGATCCCCATGGAGTACTTACTTGTGAGTATAGTCCCTTTAAAGTCAGTACAGTGAGTATGTAAGTTTACAAACTGGTCCATAGGGACTGAGGCTATAAAAACGCATGTCCTTCATAAAGGTTGCAAGTTGCAATGCACAAAGGCAGCTTGTCAATATTATATGCCTGTATATTAAAAATTAATTTGCTGAAAGAATGCCATAGGCAACAAAAATTGTTCAATTTTAGGAGATAATTTCAGGAATGTAACACTTACTGGGCCCTATGGTAACTCAGACAATACATACAAATATAAACATGAATTATTTCAACATAGAAATTACAGACATGTATAAGCTGTTGAAATGTTAATACTGTCCATAATTTTTATGTATGATTCACAAAATTAAGGAGGAGATGGAAGACATTTGGTGGTGCCATCCTTTCACTTATGTAAGTTGATAGTCAGATGGTCCCTTCATAAAAGGGTTAAAACTCTTTTTTCCCCCAGGTCAGAGAAATGTTTATTAATCTTAGTTTTATCACAACACTAGTTGGGTCTATAGGACTTGCAGTTGGCATTGGGGCACAGGCAAAGCAGGTGGTCTGCAAAAGATTGCATGGACATGCCTTGGACTATTCTCTCTCTCTTTCTCATTCTTTGCCAGCCCAAAGACAGTTCTTTACTTAAGGTTAAGTTTGATACCTGGAAAGATGCAAGATGGAAATACTGGCTTGCAGATAAGATGATGACTGGATTGGCAGGGGGTTTACAGCTTCATACGTGAGAGCATTTCATCCATTTGCAACGAGCACAGGCACTGTTCAGGACTTGGGATGAAAAGCAAAGAGAAAACAGCAGGCTTCTGTGTAGACCATAGTACAGCTTCGATAGAAAATGGAGAAACCTGCCCAAACTGCCCAATGGTTCCTGAGTGCCGAGGCCCCTTGTCCCGAAGCCTGGTCACCTGCCCTCCCTGCCTGGATTATTTCCGAAGTTCATGTTGTAAGAACTTGGGTCTTAATTTACACTGATTTTTGTGAGGCAGAATTGCGAGATGAAAGATGGTGTTGACAAGACATCAAGAACTAATCTAATACCTCTTTTTTATGAATCTTTCAGGGCAATCAGGACAGCTATCATGAAACTTGCTGCTCCTGTTTAATTTCTCTTTTCCTGAAAAATGCAATACCCAGGGCTAAAAATTGTTGTCCCTCGCAAGAAGTAAATCTCACAAAATTGGTTTGGGGGAGAGCAGTAATCTAAAAATAACAATCCTGCATAAGATCCTGTGTCAGATGCCTCATATGCAGAAAATGAAGAGAGTATTTTATCTAATTAAGTAGGGGGGTAGATGAAAAACAGAGGTAGATTGATATAGAGGTAGTGGGATTTTGGCTGATTAGTTTTACGCCCAGTAAAAACCAATGCCATCTCATCACTCCTGAAGGAATGCCCATTAAAAAGAAAAGATTAAAATTGTGTAATTTCCCACTACTCTAATCAAAACTAAAATTGTAGGGTCTGCTGGATAATCACAGCTGTCACGGCTGTCTAGCTAATGATTAGGTGATTGTAGGTTACATCAGTTCTGATATGCCCTAATCCCAAATACTTAAACACTGACGAGGAAGACTGCTGCCCTCTGTTCTTACATGCAGTACAATTGCAAGCATTTATCATTTCATCTCCTTGTCTGCTCCCCCCCGCCCCTCCCTTTATCTGATGGCCTGTTTGTGCATCCAGCCACTTCTTGCCAGGAACATGTGCTCAAAAAACTGGTGCTGGAGTCCCCAGAGCTCGTGGAGCAACTCCTGGCAATCCCGAGAGTGCTTAGATGCTTTAGACGAAAGAAATAAAAAGCCAGAAAGTCTTGAGACCTGCAGGGTTTTGATCCTTTGTTATCAGAGTAGGTAAACAATTCAGATTAGGGCTAATTTTACCCAGTAAATGAAAAGTAAATTTTAAATGATAAATGCTGAAGGTTTTAAAAACAAATTCTAGTCGTATCCCACAAATGAACAAAGATTGGTTTAGGTAGTTTGGAGGGGGGGAATTTTTCAGCATGGCAGCAAGGAACGAAAGGTAATACCCCAGCTGCTCAACCTGCCTGTGGCTGTGGCACAAGAGGCAGCGCAGACCATGAACACTTAATGGCGGGCAAGCCAAGAATAATTTGCCTTGTCTTTGCTCTTACTTTCTGAGTGTGGAAACCACCAATCTGATGCCTCAAGTAAACAATATGTTACAATACTCACTAGTATGCTTCAGCTGTTTAAGCATCCAGGTAAAATGGACTACAGCCACTTCTTTTGACCAGAACAGTATGAAGCAGCTGAAAAATATTTCTGAGAAATCAGGTCTATTTTTTAATGCAGACCTGGGATCTGCATATATTTTTTTCTATACCATACCATACCGTACCGTACCGTAACAGTACCATACCATCTATACTAAATTTAGTTCAGTAAAAATACACTTCTTCCATTCCCTTTGGAACAATGTTTATATTTTTTGTGGGTTTCAGGCTGCCATCCAGAAAAGATTTCTTCATACTTTCAGAGCAAGCTTCTATGGTGTGGGGTCCTGGGCAACAGCAGAGAGAAGGCAAATAGCACTGTCTGCACTAGGCAAAGTGGAGGAAAGGAAGATTATATTTTAGCCACATCAAAGCTGCCATGTAATCATCATGTTACTAGTGGAAGATCTGAAATCATCCTTTTCTTATTTTTTACTTCTTTATAACAACAGGGTATTAGAGTAGCCAAACCAGAGCAAATAGTTGGCTTTTCTGCTTACTTATTTTACCTGGTTAATAGTAGCAAATACAGCTCTCTAAAAGAGTATGAAAATCTTCATCTTTTAATTTGTATGCAAACTACTGCCAGTGTACTTAAAGCTGCATTTGTTGTTTTCACAAATCACCGTGAATCTCCTTCAGCCAAATTTATACCATTTTGTGTGTATTCCTTTTTTCCCCACTACTATCAAGTGCCACTTTTGGCCCCCTTCTGGGTCATTTCCACAATCAGGAGGAGAACTGTGTTATCTTTCTGCCTCATTGACTTACTATCTCATTTTCATTCTCTGAAGAAAAGCTATCTTTTTTCCCCACCTTGCTTATGCTACTTTTATGTTCCATGAGAGTGAGTTTAGTCCCAATCCATGCCATTTAGTTATAAAAAAACAGGCACTAATTTAATGATCCATAATATTTCAGAAAAATTTCCTCAGAAATCAAAGTAATAGCATGTAGGAAAGATTTCTGAAATGAAAGAGGCAAGTAAATCAGGATTGCCTTAAAGCAAAAAGTCAGTCATCTGAATATTTATCCAAACATAATAAAGCCAACACCACAATAAAGTATCCTGTTTAATGGATTACTATTGTTGTTAGTTTTATTTAAGTTCCAAGAGAATGCTGCATTATTCCATATCCTTTGCCATGTGAATATGTTCCTATTTTTGATACTAAACAGAATCTTAATCAGGCCTCTGGAAAATGAATGAAGTTGCATAAAGACCAATGAATATTGGCTCCACAAGGAAGAAATTGAAAGCCAAATAAAGTAGAGAGTTTAAATGAGAGAGAATCAATATCTCACCCTCCTCCTGCTGTTCCTTACTGCTGAACATTTTTAAGTGCAAACAGTTTCGAGTATGAACTGGCTAGAATTTGTGAATATAGGGAGGAAAAAAAAAATACTTTCTGGAATATCTTCTAAAAGGTGTGGGACCTGGAGAGCTTGGTGAAAACCATGTGCTGTGAAGTTCATTAGTAGTTCTGTGCAGAATTAAGTCTCCAGTTTATATTTTTATGGTCCTCAAAGCAGGCATGAATATTTCTTCTTCTTCATGACTGAAATAAAATGCTACAGAGAAAACAAAAGGAACTAAAAATGTAAACCATGGAGTGCTGCTCAGCAGAGGTAATTGTCTCCAGTGATGGATGCGAAGCACATGCATTTTGCAGCTGAAGAGTAAACCCCCAAAAGAAATTATTGCATAATCTTTTTCTCTGTCCTTATAAATGTGCTTTCAATTTTCATATTGCTGATATAAATCTCTTGGGTCAAATTGCGTGTCTTGTCATGTTTTCACAGTAGTCTTTTATGTAGGCCCAAGCATTTCAGCTTTGCCTACTTCAAACGGTTACATTGGACTCAACACAAATTGCTTCCTTAAGAAGAGCAAAGCACATCAGGGTACACAAGAGTTTCTCTCTCTATAATTAGGGATAGCAGCTTCCTTCCTACATGTTAGAGCAGTGAAGAGCGACTGGAAAATTGCCAGAATCAGGCCCATCTTTAGCAAGGAGTCAGCATCCACATCCTGTTTCATCCCACAGTGTGGTTGTCCCTTATAAAGAGAACATCTGTCACATGTGTTAAAAATGCCTCTTGAAAAGGCTTGGACTATCATTTTCTTCAGCCTGATTGAGTCTCCTCCTTGTTAAACTGAACCAATATGAAACACGTAGAGATCTCTAGAATGTATAAGAGGTGAATGCCTGCAATGTATGCGTTCACAAGACCTGTAATATTCTCCTTCCTCCCATCCATACTCCGTGTTACAATCTAAGATGCTTTCCTCTGCAAGCGTGAGGAGCAAAGGAAAGTACAGAAGAGTCACTGAGTACCTGAACTTTATACCTTCCATGAAGGATCTGTACTTAGCCGGATTAGGCTCATGGGGTTTAGGTGAGTGAGAAGTAACAGCTTATGCCTTTTCTCCGTAACCCATATAGAAGTGCTCTTAACAACAATACGTTTAATGGTTATTTGTGAACTTACGAGGTTTCTTCGTTCAGGCACCCCTTAATATGTTTAATAGTATGTGTTGTGATTGTGGTGATCTCTAACTAGTAGGTCTTACAGAGACATGAGTTCAGCCTCAGGATTTACACCAAAGGACACACCTTGATGACCTTGTTTCAGACAGGTCCTTCAGCTTGAGCAGACAACAGTTAGACTAGCAGCTCTGCTCCCTTTACTTAACTGCAAAGGTCTGATGTGCCATATGGGTTCGAGATAGATAACATTTTTATTATGTCAAAAATATTTTGATAATGCCATTGATGCTTCTACAGTCTGTCAGAAATACAGTTTTGAGAAGGTCCCCTAATTATTGCAGAAACATATGTGCTAATTCTGCGGATGTGTTTCAAAGACATTCTTCTGGGTCTTGTTTCCCTTAGGCATTTGGTGGTGGACTGAAAGTGAGCAACTTGACAGGTTTGATGCAGGTCTGATTGAGAGGAATATTGTTTTCCACATGACCAGTTTCATTAGCAGACACATTAAAAACAGTCTGGAGTTACTGGCCCTAGAGAAAAAAAATCAAAATTAATTACCTAATGTATTTGTTTTGGTGATGAGGAATGTCCTTCCCCCTTTCAACATGGCTTGTTTCATCCAGTTAATGGGAGGAGAGTGATGCAGGGCTTGCCTTTGTGTGTATGTTTGTGTTGAAAGAGCCCTTGGACCTGTTGGAGTGGTCATAACAGCACAGTGTTGTGCTATCAGACCTTCCTTCCACCCTTGTCCTTTGCATTTGGTTAGTCCTGGGCTTCATTTACTCCATGCTCACTGAGATACAGAAAAGAGCAAAAGCAATCAGATTTCTTTCTTTGTGCTGCTTATAAATAATGGGATAAAATACCCCATTTCTGTATATAATTTTGTGTCTGTCTGTGCATGTGTATAGACATACCTATACAGATGTGTGTGTGCGTACATATATAGGTGTATAGGATGCAATTCATCTCTTGGATAGTTCAAGTTAAAGGGAGGAGATCCTCTTCAGTTGTCTTTCATTGTTTAGCAATTTCCATTTATTCTAATTACTTTGATGCAATGGAAGGTGCTGTTCAAAATAGTTTGCTGCAGTAACTTTTATCTCAAACTAAGATGATGCCACCTAGTGAAGAACCTTTCTTCTGAAATGACATTTAAAGGCAGGTCATCTTCAGAAGCCTAGAGAAAACAGACCTTTCAAACTGCTGCCAGAATGTGGAGCAGAAGATGGTCGTTTTTAAAGAGAGACCTAAAAATTAGTGTCATTTTTTCTGTCTTCTCACTGTCTAAAGGAGCTCAGCAGAAACCGCAGCTTAACCTCAGCAGTTCAACCCTGTTTTCTCTTTTCTTCTTATTGTCTGCCCATTGCAATAATCTGTGTTTAAGCACAGACTTTGACAGCCATGATCTGCTGTCATGCTGATCAAGCTGTCAAGCTGCTTCTTGCAGTGTAGGAAATGGAGCTCACAAACTGCAACTCCCTAATCAAAAGTGTCTGCTTGGTGCCCAGGAAAAGATGTTCTTATGTCCCCAGGCAGATTGCAGGTGAATGCAGCTACAGCAAAGGGTATGGCTTTTGAGAAATGTTCAAACCACAAATTCTGTTGCAAAGTTAGAAGTCCCTGATTATTCCCTTTGATTTTACAAAGTCTAATTTAAGTTAATCTAGTTAAGAATTCTTTACCAATACTAAGCCTTAAGCCTCTCAGTCCCAGCCATGGTGTTAATTGTTCATTAGAGCTGATAGAGCTATTTAATAACAAGCTTTTTGTTTTTCTAGTCTCAAATCTGAATGAATGAATTCAATGCTGTCTGCCATAGAGGGTTTTGTCTAATTCAGCAGTTCCCAGTAGTCCTAGGCCAAGCTTTACACTCTGTCTCCTTCAGTGCTGCCTGCTTAACTTCACCAACCTCCCCTGTCTTCACATTTGCCCTTATCAATGCCTGTTTACCTCCTTACTCCTTACCCCTTGGTCCTGGCCTCCTGGTTCTTTAATCTCTGCTCCCTCTCCATTCCCTGTCTCCTGGATTTCTCCCACTTCTTTCTCCTCAACCCTGATGGAATGTCAGACTGCCATTCAATACTATTACACTTCAGTGTCAGCCCACCTCACCAGGGAGATGTGATGATGATTGTGACCCAGCTTAATGTTTGTGAAGACACCCGGAAACAAGAATGAATGCTTGTTGGGACTTTTTATTGCTTGAGTTCTTAAAATAGCTTTTCTGTGGTTTTAGGTTGGTTTTTTTTCAGTATTGTTCATTGTCTATCAATCTTAGTCAGAAATTGATGCTTAATTATTACATTGGTATGAACATCATGATAAGGCAGTACATAAAACTGACAGAGAATAAGGAGTTGGTAAGTTTAGGTTGTGAATACAAAAGTAAGGAAGGGTGGGATTGGTGCTGTTTTGTGATTCTGGAATGACTTTGCTATGCTGGAGCTCTGCTCTGATGCCAGCATGAGCGCAACATGAAGAAACTCCATCACAAGACTTTTTGTCCTTGTCTGATTTAGGAAACTGCCAGGCAGAAATGTCTATGCCCAGATGCACAACGAAAAAGAGCAGGAGATGACAAGCCCTGTTAATCATAGTGAGGACACCCAGAACATCATCCAGGGTGAGGAATTTATTGATGATGATCTGGACTCTCAAACACTAGGTAACGCAAGAGGTAACTTCATTTTTAGTTTATAAATTTTCATAAGTAATTGATTTTTAATTGATGTTTGTTTTCATTTTAGCTTTTTTTCATTTTCTGCTCCGTCTCAGGAAGAAGCAAATAGTACACCACTATCAAAGGATTATCTCAGTTATCTTCTTTTGGCTTGCTTTTGATATAGGCTAATGCATGGATGACATGCTATGTAGAGCATGAGTACAGAGATAGGACAGTTTAATGTCAGACTTCCTGGGACAATTTTAGAGATAAATTATATTTGGTAGAACAGGATATAATAGGTAACAGTTGAATTAACTCAATAACCCCATGAATTGGTGGAAAATGGAGTTTAGATCAGCAGGATTTGTAGAGTCAATGTTTCCATGATTTCAGATGGATTGTACCTAGATCCATTGCTATATTTGCCATCATATTCCAGTGGCATTTAAAGTTTTCATGATTAGAAACGTTAAAATTATTCCTGTATAAAAAGTATCGTAAGTCTTCTCTAATTTAGCTGGTAACTTTCTAGTATTTATGGGATGGTCATAAGGAACCCAAGAGGGAAACTTTCGGTGAATATCTCTCAGTGCAAATGATTTCAGTGTCAGGTGGAAGAGCATATCCTGGCACCCTGTGGTTGTTTTTAATGTAACATGGAGTGCTTATCTGTAAAATTCATTTCTTGTAAAATTTACCGTTGTGTTCAGACTGCTTTCAGGTCACAGTCTGAAAAGTGTAGGACTATGGAAAAAACTCCCCAGTTCCATTCCTACACATTTTGTGAAAATAAATAGATAACCCAAAGCCTTTGGGATTTGTAGCAGCAGACTCATGGTGTAACAGGCAACTGTAATGTCTTCATGAACCCACAGAAGAAGATGTGTTTTAGCTGCACCACAGGTAGCCTGGGGAAGGACAGAACTTTGGCAGAGGAGAGATTTCTTTATCTTGGGTTTCACCTTTATCGTTTGTTCTCGATGTCTTTATTTTTATTTGCTGAACTGTGTGGCGCTTCTAGGTTCTTGGAGGTGTTAGCTTTGAGCACGAGGGAAGAATCCAGCCTCCCGCTTTGCTTTGTGTATTTCTATCTTTTCTTTGGCAACCTCTGTGTACGAGTATCACTGTGTTTCCATTCAGATTTTGCAAGACAACCTTGATTGCACTCCTGATTTTACCAGAGTTAGTTCTAAAAACAACCCTGGAAAAACAAAGTCTGTGTTATAATTGTCTGATCGACTCATCTCCCCGGGTCTTTAGAAGAGAAGGCTGAATGCTAACAAAGTCCTTGCAGGCATGCCTATTAAAGTGGAGCATTCAAACACCTCTAGCAATGTACAGAAGCGTAACTTCTTTTAATGGTAGAAAATCCCTTATGGCCTATTTATATAAGGCAGCTTGAGATGCTGGAATAAAGAAGTGCTACCCTGATTTGTAACGCATTCAGAAATAATCTCTACTTGCCCTGCACTCCTTACTCAGAGAAAAAAAAAAATTCTTCTATCTGGGCAGAGCATTATTAAGGTTAAAGAGTGCAAGATCATGATGTTTTGATGTGAAACTTAAGACAGTTAGCAAATGCAGATCTCGAAGTGATTTGTGCTTCTGCCAGGTTGTCAACACCAGTAGCATTTCCAGCGGAGCGTAAAGAGTTCATTTCTGTGGATCATAATCATCCATATTTGTCAGCTACTGTACAGCTTTTAGACACAAGACTTTATTTAGGACATAAAACTATACTTCTGCTCGCTGTACTGTTTTGTTACTTTCAGTACTTTGCACTAGCTCCGGTATTGCTCAGTACTGCCAAGAAAATATTCCTGTTAATGATACTCGTCTGTTTTATCTGGCTAGAGTACGAAGCATGTTATAATCCCTGCTTTATACTAAATTCTATTTTATGACATTATTTGCCAAAGGTTCCTATGCTATGGAGATCCCTTCTAGTTCTGGTGAGCTTTCTCCCTCCCTGTTGGGAGATGTCAGTAGCAGCCTCCGCTCCGTGCACAGCAGGGAGTTACAGGCCTGGGTTTCTGTTTGTTCTCTCTCTTCTCGTAACTTTTGAATTTCCACAGTACAGTATTTCCAGACTCACCCATCCACTTTTTTTGTTTTCTATATATTTTATGTTGCCTACTTTATCGCAACCCCCACCTTGGGACTCCTCAACACCATTACCTTGCAGTGACTCCTTCTGGGAGAAGTGGCAACTTGAACAGCTACAGAGTTCCCTTATTGCTGATGCCGGTCAGTGTCCAGTCCCAGGTCAGTGGCATGTCGAATGGACGCCTCAGGTTCCATTCTCCTCCCTCACCTGCACCCCTCGAGACAACTACACCTTTTTAAGCCACAAAGAGAACCAACTTATGCTGTCGCTAGGATAGAAACCCTAGGAATTTGCCACAAATCCACCACCATGAGCAAAAGCTTTGCGCGAAAGTATGCTGTAGGTACATGGAGCTGTTGCACCAACCTTCACCTGACCTGTTGTTTGATAAAGCCACTCTCTTTATGCGATTGACTTGTCCCTGCCATAAAAGGGGGATTTATTGTGAAGTGCCTGAAATACACTAATGCTGGCCTTTTGTTTCTTTATTTTCGTAGGCAATCACTCAGGCGTGGTTTTGAGCATCAACTCCAGAGAGATGCACAGTTACCTGGTTAGCTGATATTTACAGCTGAACACAAAAACCGAAAGACTCTTCTCTGTATCGTTTTTATTTTTCCCTGGTGATGTCACAAAATTGCAAATATGGCTGTAAATGCTGGTGGAGAGGAGGTTTCCTATCAGTCCCGTGGAAAAAAGCATCCATCATCAGTTACCAAGGGAGAAGGATAATACGCCTTGTGTTGACTCTATGGCCTGGGAACTCGTTCCAATTGAAACTCAAACTATGGTAGCAAATTTGTAGCCCTAGGCACCTTCAATGCCACCTTATTTCTTTTCTGTATATGCTCTAGTTCTTTAGGTTTATTTTTAGAAGGATTGACTGTAACTTTTTAATTATATTTTTAATTGAGGTATTCAGCGGAAGGCTGGGACTCATCAGCCCGAAAAAGTGATTTTTACGCAAGCGACTAGACCAGAACAGATGGTTGGTTGATCATGATGACGATTTTTTAGGAGGCCAAGTGTTTCTGTACTGGGAGAGGACTAAGCGAGGAGACAAATGCACTTCTAGTCGATACAAGCTCTTAACTTAAACATGTGTCAGACAATCTAATGAATTTAGGCTTAGGCCCTTCTGTGGATTAAAGGAAGTAAAGCGTTAATTAAGATATCTCATAATATAGGATAATGCTCTTGTAAGTGTAGCAAGTCCTGACAAACCATCAGCACCGGTATCTTCCCCAGTCCCACCCCATGTGAAAGAAAAACACCAGCTTGATGCTATTTCCAGACCAGGTGCCTTCACTTGCGGACAGTCATTTCAGTTGCTCCCTTCTTGTCTCATAAGCGAGCACCTTTAGGACGATGGCAGCTGCCGGATGAGTTACCCCGTAAAACCCCATGCTGGTGGCCTGTCTCTTTTTAAATTTGCAGAGAGTGTAAATACCTCTTTTAAGTCGCTTTCTTAGTATGGTTATTTTTTTAAAACTTCCTATTAGGGCAGAGGTGCCGGGTAGGTCGGAGCTCTCCTCCGGGCAGGACTGGGTAGGTCACCACCGTCCCCTTCCCACTCGCATCCTTTGGGATTTTCCCTGGCTGTTTGCCCTGGCAGACAGGGGTGGGCAAACTCCGAGCCGACCTTTGCCGCTTGGGTTGGTTTGACAATCCAGAGGGTCATGGGGAGGGAGGATGGGCTGTGATTTAGGGGTTCGTATTTCCTTTCCGTCACCACAGGGTGTCACTCAGTCCCTACCGCCGCCGGCCCCCATTTCTGCAGGGAGGGCAGTGGGGCTTCTGAAGGAGCTGCCTGCAGAAAGGCTTGTGAATCAGGTCAGAGTTTCCTAATCCCAATTTTGTGAGTTGGGTCAGAGTTTCCTAGTCCTGACCCCTGCATCCCTTGGGAACGGCTGTGCGGTGAATCCACACCCCGCTGGTCGTTTCCCTGAGGTTTATGGAGCCGTGTAGGAAACGGACTGTGGTGTGATGAGTTTAAACATCTGGCATCCTATGTGTCACAGCTGCCTGGGATTAGGATGCTTCTCTCAGAAACCTATATAATCTCTTCACTTTTTGCCTTTGATAGAGAATAAATAGCTCTTCACTCACTGAATGTCATACTGATGCTAGTGGCAAGCTCGCACACCACCTTGCTTAAGGAGGATACAGATAGCTAACTACATCTTTCTGAATAAACAAACAGAAAATAATGCTGGTAAGACAGAAAAGGACTGTCTTAAAATTATCGTATGCATTGAAGTCATTCTTCCATGTAGCTGTGGATATCCTAGAGCATATTGTCATCAAATGCAACGGACTGGGATGTAATAATTCAGTGTAGCAGGCTCTCACAAACCCCACAGGATGTATGTGTAAAGCACAAGAAAATCTAGATTATAAACTTACTGTAAGGAACTAGGTGAAAAAGTTTAAGTGAAGATTCTGAAAAGCGCTTGCAAACTGCTCAGGAAAATAATTTCAAAAATTGTTCTAAAATTTCTGCCTATGTAGTTATAGAGTGCCATGTAAACCAATTTACAGAGAAGCAATGCTCTTGCTGACTGATGTATGCCAGACTGTGTAGAAATCCAAGGTGTTACATGTATCTGAGTCTGGGTTCCTTGAAGAGAAGCGTAAATACAAAATGTGCTGTGCATTGGAAACTCTCGGGATCGTTGCACCAGAGGTCTATCTGTTCTCACCAGCTCTTTATGCTTTTTCTAGCAGAAATGAGCTGGAACAGAGAATAAAATAGTATTGCAAACAGCTTACTTGTTCCTGTGAAATAAATCTGAAGTGGGTCATTTGTATAGGGCAGGTGAGTAGCAGATTAGCCTCATGGACAAGGGATGGGATGGAAGTTCTAGCTCGGGGTTGTTTTCCCACAGTTTGTTGGGTTGGCAAAGGACACTGTTGCAGCTAGGTCACACATCTAATTTATGCTTTCACAGCTATTTTTATACATTTAATACAGGGTGATTTGTGTCTCTGATAACAGGAATCTTTTGGAACACTGTAGAATATTTAACCGCTTGGTACTCTAATTAACACTTAGCACAATATAGTGCCTGTAATAATGTTTTTCGATGCTTATTAATTTGATTCATGCAGCACTCCTGTGAGGTTGGTTTGTCATGTCTTAAAAACATTGTTTTCTAATGAGTTGTCAGTATTGCCATAACTGTATTAATAATACCCAGCAGATAATAAAGGAAGCCTTTGATTCCCTGGCAAGAATAACTTTAAAACGAATTATTTTAAAACTGAGAAAATACCATTACCATTTTCCCATTCATGGTGTTTTGGTTTATCTTTAAATGAAATGTCTCACTAGGGCTACATTTTTAATCTCTTGAACTACATCCATGACGTCTTAGCATTTTATCCTTTATATGTATCTAGGATCCTGATACATTCGTATACAGAAACACATTCTTATACAGAGTTGTTTCTATGCACAAACACTAGTCATGCATGCATGCACACAGACGTGCAGTATTTGTACATATTCCAGTTAAATTTGTTAGTGGGGAAGGGTGGTTTGATGGCTAAGAAACAAGATGGCTGTCAGGTACCTGTATTCTGTACCCACTTTGGGCAAGTTACTTAACCTGTATGTGCCTCAGTTTCCCCGCCTGTAAAATGGGGCTGATGATAGTAATTACCTACCTCACAGGGGTATTGTGAGGCTCAATTAATCACTGTTTGTTCAGGATCTTCAGAGTGAAAGAATTTTCTGAGCATAAATTATTAATAGTTTTGCTTTCTTTGTTTCAAATGTAATTATTGCTGTTATTAAAGGTAGTCTGCTGAAACCAGATGCAATTATGTACAATGTAAAAAATGCATAATCTGAAAAAGGTACATCACTGTTAAAAAAAAAGGTAATTTTATTTTAAAACTGTTATTGGAACATACTGTTATGTGGTAGCATTGCAACATTGGCTGTGATTTTGCTGTTACACACTAGTATCTTAAATTTACTTTTCTGCAGTGTTATTTGGTCAAAAGCCTTATAATAATGGGTACAGTGATACTTACCAACATTGATATTGAACTATACTGAAACCAACAAAACTGGCAGTGTATTGGCCTCATTCACACCTTTTGGTCTTCTTAAACTCTGATGTATTTGCAATTTCAAAAACACCCTGTACTTTTCAGAGTGCTCCAAGCTGTACTGATTTGAAGCGTTCTAACAGAGCCATCAAGATTTACAGCTGGTATCTTTGCTTTCCCTTTTGATATTGAATGTTTTATATGGTTTTGGAGTGGTCTATCCATATAAAGTGCTCAGAAATGCTCAGAAGACCTTTAGGGAAAATCCACACACAGTGTAAATTAATTTCTCAAAAATAAAAGCAATATAAATCAATGTATGTTTTTATACCCTGTAGAAGAGGGTGGTGGAAATGGCTGTGAAGAAACAGAAGGTACCAGCCTGAGGCAAGATGTTGTTATCTCCAATTCACATCCAATTTCCTTGAACTCTTTTTGGATATTCTCATTGAATTATATTCTTCCTGATGAGTTTTCTGCTTTCAATGACCAGTTTAAAGAGGAGTAAAGTGTTTATTCATATGAAGTAGATGATTTGTTAAATGACTGTCCTCTGGACAGACAGAGCCAAATCAGCGCTTTGCCATTAGTAGTTCCTAGTGCAAAGCAGATTTCATCTGACATGATTATGATGGTTAGCTGTGGTTTAGGTTCAAAGAGACATCACTTTAGGGGGAATACTCTACTATTGTATGCTGTCTCTTTAACAGAGGTCAGTAGAATGGAACTGAAGTGGTTTCCATCCCCCTTACACAAATACATGCTCAAAGAAATGGGGGGGGGGGGGGTATTATTTTTAAGAAATTAAATACATGCATTTGTTTGTAGTAACTTTTTGATGATGAACCAGTGGTTCTGATAAGCTTTGAATTTCTAGTGTTATTTCAAGTTGAATACAATGTTGCTAAGTTGATGACAGAATCGATGACAATTTCAGTCATAGAGTTTTCCTATGTTTCCTATAAAACAATATTTTGTAATTTTTCATTAATGAAGCATTGAGAGGAAAAGAGAGACTGAAATTTTTATTTCATTGCATGATCCCTGGCAGTTGGAGTTGTTATTGTATATTGATTGATACCGCTGTATTGTTTCTACCTTCCGTTTCATTTCAGACTTTTAGATGGAAGTAACTGCACATTTCTCTCAAAATATTGGCTTTCCACTAGGAAGAAATTTATAAGCATTTACCTTTACAAATATTGATTTTATTTAGAGATGCAAAATTTTGTGTCTTCTAAGTCCATCCAAAAAGCTGCCTCCTGGCTCATGTTCTCTGTTCTAGTCCCAATTGCACATTGATTCTACAACTTTCTTGACGAGATTGGCATATAGCCTAATCTTACTAGTCTGAGAAAGTCTTTCTAAAACTTCCATTAGAGTAGCATTTAATTGCCCAGAAGTAGTTCCAGGATCTGCTCAGACAATTTTCCTAATGTTAAATCTGTATTTTCATGTTCTT